TGTTTTGTTCTATTGGATCAAATTCTCTATGAGTCAGACCTCACTCAAAGGCAACTGACAACAATTATACTTTAATTTTTTAATTAAGGTTTTCAAAAGTCCTACCTATCCACTGCCACCGAATAAATTACAACTCATAGCAACCCTTCATGGAATTCTCAAGAATGTAATTCTTTACATGATGAGAAAGCCTCATATTTCTCCCCTGAAATGGCTAGTGAGTTTGAACTGCTGACCTTGTGGTTAGCAGTCCACTGTCTAACCCACAGTGCCAATCTTTTCAAAGGTCCTTGTTGTTGTTGTTGTTAAGTGCTATTGAGTCAAAGGTCCTTAGATTAATCTATATTCTAATATTTTACTGTAAATCCTAACAGCCTAAGAACCATGCTGACTGCATCCCAGCAAGTATGTTTAGTTCACTGCATGAAGTGCATCTTACATGAATACAACCACATAACCACTGCTCTAAACATGCTATAATTTTGAGAACACACAAAGAAAGAGTACTCATCTCAGTTAGACAGCCTGAATAATTAAATTTAAAATAGCATCATAGTCCTTCATATAGTGTTTACTAACAGGTTGGATTCTGTAAAGACCACTCTTCTCCACCTATATAAATTAAGCTAGTGAAAGAATAATGTGGGACACATTATTTTAACTGTACATATGTTGATATATATAATCTATATATATACATATATATAATCTATATATGTGTATATATAATTTTGTGTTTTTTCAAAGTTGTTAACATAAGCATATATCTGGTTCATCCAAACTATGATGTAATTAAATTCTCCACTGTCCACATTGCTGTTGTTGTTAAGTGCCGTTGAGTCAGTTCCGACCCATAGCGACCCTGTTTAGGGTTTCCAAGGATCACCTAGTGAGATTGAACCGCCAACCTTGCAGTTCAAAAGGCTTTGCAGTCTAGTGCATTAACCCATAGCACCACACCAGGACTCCACATTAGGTCGTGCTATATTTTATTTATAGTTAATTCAGTCAATAACTTCATCCGAATAGCTTTTTCTAGGGAAGAAATCCAGACTTGAAATTTCACAAGCATACAAGCTTATCAAGAAGACATCAAAAATTCCATTATCCTTTAATTCCATTTTTCCATGAATTTTTGAGGCCTCTAGCACATGTTGTGGCATCCTGGTGGGGCACTGTGGGTCAGTACGCTAGAATGCAAGGTCAGTGGTTCAAGCTCACCAGCTACTCCTTGGAAGCCCTATCCAGGTTCGCTATGAGTTGGAACTGACTCGACGCTACTTAACAACAACAGCACATATTGTATGTTACTCTTAGGCTATTATTATTGTATTCTTTAACCAAGGTTATTAATTAGTACAGGATATGTAGATTCACTAGTGAGCCTTTGTAACTTTACTGTAGTTTTTTGTTTTATTTTATGTAAAATGAATCACTTTCCCCTTTAATATTTTAAGAAGTTCTAAAACTTGATTATCAGTAATTAGTGGTAATTATGGAGTCCTGGTGTGGTGCTGTAGGTTAATGCACCAGACTGCAAAGCCATTTGAACTGCAAGGTCGGAGGTTCAAACTCAACAGCTACTCCTCAGAAACCCTATACAGGATCGCTAAGGGTCGGAACCAACTCGTCGGCACTCAGCAACAACAAAATGGAAGTATTTATATAGTTTTTCTGGGTTTTCAGATAATTTAAAATTACAAAAAAATATTCATACATGGACATTTGCTTATAAAAGTTTAACATTAGCCTTGTACCAGTTGCTAATCATATATACATTTCTGTTTTTACAATAACTCAGTTATGTATAATTTGTTGTTGGCAAGTGCTGTTGAGTCAGCTCCGACCCATAGCAACACAGAATAGGGTTTCCAAGGAGCATCTGGTGAATTTGAACCGCCAACCATGAGATTCAACCCAACTTTGCAGTCCAGTGCGTTAACCCACAATGCCACACCAGGACTCCTTATATATAATTGCTGTTGTTAAAGTGCCCTTGAGTTGATTCCACCCCAAACGACCCTGTGTAGGGTTTCCGAGGTACAGCTAGTGAGATTGAACCACTGACCTTGCAGTTCAAACGAGCTTGCAGTCTGACGCATTAGCCCACAGCGCCATACCAGGACTCCTTATATATAATAGATAGTACTATAATCATATTATGAATGAAAAGATGCATTTGCTAATCAAATTATCTTTTGAGTTTTGAGAATACGCATATGAATTTATATGTTTATGTTAGTCACCCTTTTGTTTGTTTATTACAGTGGTCAAGGAAGTTTACTACAGCCTTTTATATACTACAGATTTCTTACTCTTCGGTATTCCTCTAGAAGAAATCCATATTGCCGGTAAGCTGATGACTAAATGTATTATATTTGTTAAGAGTATTGTGAAAATTATAGTATCTGCACTCTTAAGAGTTAATTAGCTAGTTGTTAGATATTAGAAGGAAGCAGTGTTTCCACAAATTATGTTCTGGGACTCATCAACCTTGAGTTGATGAGGGTTGTTTTTGTTGTTGTTGTTGTTGTTGGGTTTTTTTGTCTTTTCAGAAATTGGGACTGGAATTATCTTGACCACATCTACTATACTGCAAAAGCTTAGAAAATTCAACATTCTCAGGGGACTTTCCTAGTAAAAGGAAAAAAAAATATCAAGGAAAGGACGGAACAATGACTTAAACAGTATTCACAGATCAGTGCATGAGTGTTGTTGTCAAGGCGATTCTGATTCATAACAACGCTGTATGTAGGGTTTCCAAGGAGCAGCTGGTGGGTTCAAACCACCAGCCTTGCAGTTAGCAATCCAGTGCTTATCCTGCAGCACCACTATATAACTACAGTTGCTATTGTATCAGTACTGAAGAAGTGTACAGGAAATCAGTGAGCCAGAAGATAGAGATTTGTTCTAGAAAGATTAAAGCTTTTGGAATAGAAAACATTTTAGGTAAGGAGACAGAGGAGTAAGTATGAGCCAGGATGATTAGAGTATTATTCTCCTTTATTCTTATTGTTAAATGCTGTTGAGTCAGTTCTGACCCATAGCTATAGTTTGTGTAAAGTTGATTGGAGAAGAAAAGAACAGTGGATTACTCCAGGAACAAAGGTTAAATTAATATACAGTAAATTATGAATCCTCAAATATCTCAAAATTTAAGACTAAAACTAAAATGAATAACTGGTTTTCAATAGCTTTTAAAATCTATTCCTCAGATATTGGTAGGAGCATAATATTTTTGTTTCATTTTTCAAGTTTAGAAAATTCATCTATAGTAAAATAGAGTCCTAAATCCAATAGTGTATTAAGATGGTATTTTACACATTGAGAAACAAAGTATAAAAAAAACAGAATCTGAATGCTGACTCTTCATTTACTAGGTGTGTAATTTTAGGCGTTAATTTAATTTAAATTTTTTCATTGATACAGCATTGGAAAATGGTAGGAATAACATCAGGCTTCAGAGAGGTTAATGGCCAGGATTAACCTTAAGCTGATTCTTAGGAGGTGAAGGATGAACATATCTCCACGCTCCTACTTTTTTACCAATTCTGACACTAGCTGCCCCTCCCATGGCACCTTCTACTTCCTTCTGGGTTTGAAAATCTGTTGCAGTGGCTTCGCAGAACTCACAGACCATACCTACACTTGAGTGGTTTATTAAGCAAGTATTAGGGCACAACTCAAGGTCAGATCAGGAAATACGTGGGCAGTCTCTCAGTTCCTCTCACCTGTACAAGCAAGCAGGCCCATCTCTGCCATGCAGACCTCTCTTGGGCCCTCTCAGGACAGGTGCCGCTTGGTGCCCTCTGAACAGATGACCCTGCCATCTCTCAACACTAACCCCCTCATAGGTCTCGTATGGGCCTGTCACTGCATTCAGTGTTACAGTCTTTGACCAGTGTTATAGCTCTCTAAGTAGGTTCCTTGCCTTTTCTCTCTGTTTTTTCTTCTTCCTTCTGCTTTGTGTGTTCTTCTGTGTTCTATGTGAAAAACCTGTGAGTTTGGCTGCATATCAACATAAACGTCTAATCAGTTTCAAGGTATGGCCCTCCTACCAAGGCCAGCCTCTTGATTGGCCACAGACACTTCATTTGCAGTCAGTTGACCAGTTCCCTGCAAGGAGCTCACCAAAGGACAGGATGCAGTCTTCTTGTTAAGTACCATCAAGTCAGGATGCAGCCTAGGATCAGCCAGAAAGTATAAAAACACAAATTGTTTACAGCTTACCTCATGAAAGCCAACCTATTAGATTATTAATATAGAGTTTATTTTTTGCTTCTGCAATTTTGATTATTCCTTTCTGAGAGTATCTTTGTGCTCTTTTAGACAGTGCCTTTTTTTTTTTCTGAATTAAAAGCTTACTTATTTTAGGCATAGATTCTTTTTTGTCGTTTTTGTTGAGACTATATACAGCAGAGGCTTCCTGATGTGGCGCTGTGGGTTAATGTGCTGGACTGCAAAGTTGGTTTGACTCTCAAGGTCGGAAGTTCAAGCTCACCAGCTGCTCCTCCGAAACCCTATGCAGGGTCACTATGAGTTGGAACTGACTCTATGGCACTTAACAACAATATACACAACAGAATTTATACAAATTCAATAATTTCTACATGCAGACAAAAGTGGCAAAGAAACTTTCATTTTTTACAAGTTTCCAGAAATTTCTTTCTTTCTGTCAATGTATTCACTTCAGACAGTCTCTTCATTAGCAGAGTCGCTTCATTTTTACATATATTTTCTCCACATACCAATGACAACAAATTTATAAATTCATGTGTTCAGTTGAATGCAAATAAAAGGATAATGATCCATCAGAGTAGCACCAATAAGTGTACTAACATTCTCAAAGAGCTAAGCATTTTAATTAGTGGAAAGTGTCAAAAAGGGTTTAACCTTATAAATATACTGATGAACAGATTAATAAAAACTATTTTCTACATTACACTATAACAGTTTTGAGACTGTTATGTATCATTAATTTGTACCATTTTCATTTATCATGTTTCTTAACATTGGTAACGGTCCTGTTTAGATGTGTGTCTAGAACTACCAAGATGGTAGGTATAGGCTACATTTGGTCGTTTAAACTTTGAATTAAAATTCCAGAAAATGCTCAATAGCTGGGTCCTATTCAAAAGGGGGAAAATAAGGAACAGAATTTTTATTGTTAGGGAATCCAGACTTACTAGACTCATTAATAACTCTTAGACCTCTTGCCCTGAGATGTATAAACTAGGCCCATTGATAATTCTTAAATCTCTTGCCCTGAGATGTATAAATTTTTTATTGTGTTTTGGATGAACATTTATAGAGCAAATAGGTTTTCCATTCTACAGTTCATCCATTTTGATTCATGACATTGATTGCGATCCCCACAGTGTAACCATACTTCAGCAGCCTGCCCACTTCCTCCCTGTGTTCATTGTGGCCATTATTCCTCTCCCTTTCTGCTTTCTGAGCTTTCTCCCAGGCATATGCTGCCCTATGATTTCATATGGTTGGTTGTTCTAGGGATGTTCAGAGATACTCTTTAAACTGCAAACTGAAACTGTCCCTTGAAGTTGTCTTTAAACCAAGCAATGGTTTAGCTCAATTAGTAAAAAATGTCTACTTTGAACATTGCTCTCTTCTAGAGAATTATTTATAGGAGATCAAATTGACAGTAGTAATTCTTGAACATAGATGAATAGCTTAAGGGCTGTTCTTAATTGTGAGTCTAAGTTAACAGGAGTAAAATAATTTGGGTAGAGACGATGAGAATGAACACATAATGTGAAGAATGTAACCAATGACTCTAAATTACACATGTAGAAACTGTTAAATGGGTGCATGTTTTGCTGTGTATATATTTTCACCAAGAATAAATAATCTTTTAAAAATTCAGTAAAATGGAAAACTCAGTCACACTAATAACCACATTTCAAGTGCTCGAAAGCTGATGGCCACTGTATTAGAGAGTGGATGGAGGTTTACAACATTTTCCATCATCTGTCAGTGCTGCTCTACAGTTCCAGTGACATGCACATTTATGCCCAAAACAGGTTGATGACTTTGCTTCGGTGTTCTATGACTAAACACTACTCTTTATTACATCCTGTATATCACTGTATGAACCACACATATAGAGTATACAGACTATACCAAATGCCTTATGGAAGACAACTTAGTCAGTTGGCATTACAGTTCATAAAGATAAGATACTAGTTTGATGAGTAGTGTCTAGGGTCTTAAAAAGCGTGTGAGCAACCATCTAAGATACAGGTATTGAAGTAAAAGGAAGAAATCAAAAGCGAAAAGAAGAAGCAAGTCCACAGGCCTAATAGACCACACAAACCATGGTCTAAAAACTAGATGGTACCCTGCTACCATTAGCAACCATTCTGACCAAGGTAACAATGAAAAGTCTAGAATAGGATGCAAAGAAAACGTAGAACAAAAATAAATTCCTAAAGGCCTCACCTACTGGATCAATAGAGACTAAAGAAACTCTTGAGACTAGCACCCTAAGAAATCCTGTAAATTTGGAACTGAAGCTATTTCTGGAGGTCACTCATGACTAATAGGCTCCCTTTAGCAATCAACTATATGAAACTAAATGGTCAACATTTACCCAAAAGCAAAGATGAGAAGGCAAGGAGGAGGAGGAAAGCTAGATCAATGGCAACAGAATGAAAGAATGAGAATGTTGACACATTGCAAAAATTGCCAACAATGTCATGGCTACATAGGAATCTGATTTGCAGCGTAAATTTTCACCTACAACACAATACACAGTTAACAACAAAACCCTGTCGAGCAGTTCTACTGTGTAAACACAAGAGTTGTCATGAGCTACAATCAGCTTGTTAGCAACTAACAACAGTTTTTTGCTAAGCTGATTACTAAGCCTTCTGTTTCACTGCTTGGTGGGTTCCAATATCCAACTTTAGCTAGTAACCACCCAGACAATAGGATTGTGTAGATGTAATAGAGTCCTGGGATGGCGCTTTAGGATTAGCACTGGGCTGGGAACTGCAAGCTCAGTGGTTCAAACCCACCAGCCACTCCTTGAAAGCCCTGTACAGTACTGACTCGATGGCACTTAGCAACAGCAACATGGGTGTAATGGAGTCCTGGTGTGGCATTGTGGGATAAGCACTGGATAAGTAACCATTATGTTAGCACTTCAACCTACCTTCTCAGAAACCCTGTACAGGAATCAACTCGATGGCACTTCACAACAACAACGGGTCTCATGCTGGCAATTTGGAACTCAGTCTGAAGGCAGAAAGAGCCAGTTTAGCCTCTTTTTTTTTTTAACATCTGTATTGTCTTGTTTAAACTTCACCACAACTCAGAAGGACAGACTCCTATTTTACAGAAACTCTGAGAGGCATGTTCATTTAAGGAAAGGGGTAGAATTGCCTATATTATAGAGTCCTAGTGTGGCACTGTAGGATAAGCACAGGACTGCTAACCATAAGGTTGGTGGTTTAAACCCACCAGCCACTCCTATATAGGGTCACTATGAGTTGGAAGTAACAAGCCCATAGTATATCATTTTCTTTTGTAGAGCTACCTTAAGCTAAGTGTTAAATGTGAGAATGATACAACTCTACTATAAAGGAGTCCTGGTGTGGCGTTGCAGGATAATGTGCTGGACCACAAGGTCAGTTTGAGCCACAGAGTTGGCGGTTCAAACCCACTAGCTGCTCCTCGAAAACCCTTATATAGGATTGCTATGGGTCGGAACCGACTCGACAGCACTGAACAACAACTACTATAAACAAAGTCCTGATGTGCTGCTGCAGGTTAAGGCGCTGGACCCACAAGGTCAGTTTCAGCCACAGTGTCTGCAGTTTAAACTCACCAGCTGCTCCTCAGAAACCCTACATAGGTGGCTACGAATCAGAACCAACTCAACAGCACTTACCAACAAAAACATAAGAAAATAGAAAATCATTCATATTCTTAGTCCTCAGAGATAGCCATTTATTAAATGCTGTTGTTACATAAACTTTTCCACCCAAAACAGACACAAGTGTTGATTTTGAGAATTTTATTATGTGTGTGTGTGTTCCCTATAAAGAGTCTCGGTTATTTCGCTTCTTTAAATTCTTTAATGACTATGAGAAGTTCCTTCATTAGCTTGTCCTCGTGTGGTGCTATCAGATCAGCACTAGATCACAAGGTTTGTGACTTAAACCCACCAGCCACTCTTTAGAAACCCTATACAGGGTCACTATGAGTCAGAACTGACTTAACAGCACTTAACAACAACAACATTATATTGCTTTTTCCTTGTGTTTCTTTCAAAAAAGCAAAACTAAACTAAAACAGCAATTTTATGTTGCAGGACATTGTTTAATGAGCTGAGGATTGTTGTTGAACACATAATAATGAAACCTGCTTGCCCGCTGTTTGTGAGAAGACTTTGTCTCCAGAGCATCGCCTTTATAAGCAGACTGGCACCCACAGTTGCATAATTTTCTATTCCGTTAAGTTATATATAATATAAGCATTATTAGCAGCTGGTACTTCTTTTAGGGGGGTTGCAAATTCCAGGTGTTACTCAGACCTCAATCCAGTTTATGTAATTTACATAAATGCATTGAAAATCTCCACTGACCCCACCCACCCACCATGTTAAATCAAGCCTTTTTCCAAGAAAATTATCCTGTGCTGTGTTGAGAAGAAAGTTTGTATCGTGATAAATGTACCAAATTTGGGTTAGACGCTGCTGTACCTATATCATGAAATGCATTTGTTTCTTTTTTTAAAAAAACTTCTACCTAATGGGTAACCTGAATTTCTATATGGCATAGGTTCATTATGGTAATGTTAATACATATGAATTCAGTATATTTTGAGACAGTATTTTTCCACTCAGTAATTTTGGTTGACATCAGCAGAGCATTTCCCACTGAATTTAATTTCAAATTCCTATTAGATTGATTTTGTGCTGCTTTGATAGGATAGATTTATTTGAATGTATCATTATAAGAACTCAATGTATGCATCTTATTAAGACCTTCCAAGCATTATCTCCTTAAATACTTTTGGTTTTGAATATTAAAGAGAAAGGGAAAAAAAGCTCAACCAATTTGATAAATGTTTGAAGTTATCTAACCATGTTACTTCAGAAAGCAGTAACATATTTTTTCACAAATAAGATGTACCCATACAAGTAGAGAACCTAGGAAATTAGAACCCAAGAGTATTTCTTGGTTTGCAAAAAACGTATTGCTATTGGATTACTAGCATAAAAACCCAAGAGTTACACAGTTTTCCTTTGAGTCATGTTTTGCAAATAGGGAATCCTTCTTTTACAAATGTGGACACAGGTTATTACAGGATGTAGAGGTACCTAGTTCAAAAGACTCTTTCCAGTTTTCTCAGTTTCTTAGGCTTGACTTTTCATAGACATTTACAGTAATTCAGACCTTTTGAAAGGAATGCAATTGAAAATTAAGCATATGTTTTAAAATAATAATGAAGATTATTTTGTAGATTACATGCTTACCCATCAAATCTGAATTAAAAGGTAAATGAGAAGGTTATAGGGAAAGTATTTATTTGCTTGAGAATGGGACTTGGGGGAGGTGTTGTGGGGAAATAGTGTACATATAAATTTGGGGGATTAGATAGATATATTATGCAAATGTGATTTGAGGTGGGTGATACATCAAATACTGATAAATTTCCTTGAGCCCCTTTATAAAATTCATTTGATCTTTATTACTGTTGCACAATTGGAAATGGTTAAAACATTATAAAATTTTTGTGATGGTTTTTGTAACTGATTTTCTTCTGTGTGCATGTAATTTGAATTTATCAAATACATTCATTAGTAACAACAATACCATCAGTTTTCTTTTTGTTCAACTTCCAAATTTAGATGAAGATGATATTCTGATGATAGATTACAACAGTTCTACTTGATTGGTTTTATTTGCTTGAAGTCAGCTGTAACTAGCTATTTTATATTTTTATAAAGTTGGAGAAACAGCCTCATAATATACAGTTGATTGTATATGTCTGTGTGTCTAGCCTCATTATCATCATATATGTAATCTGATAGTTCCCAACGAAAATTTCTAGAGCAATAAAGTGACTGTAAAGTTATGTAAACAGCATATTATTGATTTCTAAAGAGATTTTTTAAAATTAAGTCAAATTACATCAAAAGTTTTGGTGACTGAAGACATTTACTTTAAATTTACTAGGTTTTTTTTGTTATTGGTTTTCTACAGTTTTTTAAAATCTTGAAATAATTTTAGTTTTATAGAAGAGTTGCAAAAATAGTACAGAAAGTTCCTGTATAGCCTTTACTCAGCTTCCCCTTATGTCAGCATCTTGCATAACTTGTCAGCATTTCTCAGAACGCAGGAATGAATGAGCTCTGGAACAATACCATTACCTAAAGTCAGTTCGGACACTACGGTTTTTGTCTTCATTTCTCATTTCCTTTTTGTGTGGTTTGTTTTTGCCATGACCATCTTATTATAACTTGTAAGTATGTCTCTTTTTAAAAATTTTTCTCTTTATTTTGAAAATAAAAATATTTTCATAAAAGAAAATTCATGTGGTTTTAACAGATAACTTAAACATTAGAACTGCTACAAATGAATGCATTCCTCTAAATTGAGACTTTGTCACATGTAATAGATTATGATGTCTCTGATATGCTCTTGTTTGACCAAATGGAAATGCAGATTTGATCGGTCTTTAAAAGGAAGACTCGATTTATAAATGAAACACATGTAAACTCCTAAAGTAAATTTTCCAGTTTAAATATTACTAGATGTTTACTTTACATGAAACTGTAGTATCAGTATTTACAACCATTTGATTTGGCATCTAAATCACAGCATAACATATATAGTTGTCAAATTAAAATTAAAGAAATAAAATAGTAGTCAATAAAAGGAATGTCCATACAAGAAATAAGCTCTGGATGAGTAGCTGTTTTGCTCACAGGTTTCAAAGAAGTTGGTGTAAACATTCAGAATATCTTCCTGGAAGTGCTATAGGACCATTTGTCTTGCAGGACTTTTCCAGGAAACCCCTGTGGACAGGTGAAAGCCTCATACTACATACAGTCCTTTTGTGTACTTCACTGCACCTGAACTTAAAGTCTTTTTAATATCAGTCTAAAGAGACATTTCATAACTACAATTGGCACCTAAAATTTTTAGAATGCACATCACTGAGATAAGTTACTCCTGAAAGAAAGCATACCTCAGTTTTTTTTAAAAAACTAAGTTTGGATATTTAGAAAGCTGTTTTACAGAGAAAGACATGCTAATCTTAAAGTAGAAGTTTTGGATGATCAATGGCGTCATAGAATTGCAAAGCTTTTAATTAGAAAAATTATCAAATATTAAGGCTAGATGTGGAGGTTTTAGACCTAAATATTGTTCATCCTGGGAAGAAAAATGAGCGTATATGTAATAGAACTGAAAGATTTAGGTTTATAAATGCTTCAGATCAAAATGAATGAAATTAATCATGAGGGAATATGGTAAAGACCCTTAACACGTGGTAAGGAATTTATTTTGATTGATATAGTTGTTATGAACCCCTCCCCTACCTCCAGTAGGATCTGTGAGTTTCAAAAGTTTCCTTCAAATTAGAGTAATTTTGATACTTACTCCAAAAAGAAAATCTCAAGGGAGAAAATGTTGTTAAGTGCTGTTGAGTCGGTTCCGACCCATAGCGACCCTGTACTGGCTTTCCGAGGCTGTAAATCTTTACGGGAGCAGAACGCCTCATCTTTCTCCCGCGGAGCAGCTGGTAGACTCAAACTGCTTTGACCTTAAGGTTCGCAGCTACCAGAGCTCCTTCAAGGGAGAAAATAGCCACAGACAATTATTGTAATCAGTAGATGGCACTCTTCCCTCAACTGCCTGCCCCCCCACCCCCATGTTGAAAGGTAACTAAAAGTGCTGGGGTCTGCCGTAAAACTAAGGCTCTGAATTTCACACCCCTTGTAATGTGTAATTCTTTTATATTCAACACATTTAGTAAGCATTTATTAATAATGAAATGTTCAAAACTGAAAGAAGTACCCCATTAATTAATAGTTGCTTTCTAAGCAAGCATTTGAGAATGGCAGAACTCAGATCATGGTCTAACTGGTTTTTGATTTTCATTCTAAGTGCCTCACCTAAACAATTGTAAAACTGTTCTTGCTCCTTCTGTTTAATTAGGTGTGGAGGAAAATGCTACTTAAAATTTTTAATTAGAATTTTGTAGGTATACTAGGCATAGCAGTTCAACTTCTTTTATAATTCACTTTTCACAGGAATTCAAAACCATGACAAAATTTTTGGATACTCTATTAAGAATGGTATTAGATTTGAATATTCAGTTTTGTTGAAGAGGCAGCTAGTTTCACTGAATCCCTTGTTGGAATTCCACAGAGCTTATACAAAGGTGTAGCTTAGGTAGTATGCCAAAGGTACATGTTTATAAATCCAGGAGTTAGTCCCACCAATTGTTTTAATGAGTGACATTTTTATAATCTGAGGGGAAGATCTTTATTGGTATTAAGGGATCTTTATTGGTTTTAAGGGTAATAAAGGAACTGCTAAAATGCTGGGGAGGTTTCTTTGTAGTAATTGTTTTGGGAACTGTTGAGGTGACATTCAGGTGCAGTTGTTTTGAAGTTGGAAGGAACCCTTTCCAATGTGTGGGATTCACTCTAGTAGCCTTTCATCTCCTGTGCTTATAGGAAGACTGACCTGCCTTGAGTTTGAGTTGATGTGACAAGAGATTATGAAAGTACAGTATTTTTTAAAATCTAAGTCAGATTCTTTCATAGGAAAGGATTGGGAAAATGATAGATGGATATCTTTGCTGAAACTTAAAAATAAGCTCATGTTCTAGAAGAAAGGAAGGGCCAAAGAATTATTTAACTGTTTCCTTCATCACTTAATTTGAAACTCACACTTGAAATTAACTTTCTTTTCTTGGTTCATGACAGTTTAATGTCAAACGTTTACTCTTCCTTTTTAACTTTGAAACAGAATTACTCCTTTTTACATCAAAGTTTGCCTACTTTGTAAGTTGAGACCAAAAAGGCAAAGTCTTAGGCAGGTGGCATTTATGACTGTGTGTATGTATATTGGAACAAATGCGGAAGAGTTGCAAAGATTTAGCAGCTATAAGAAATGCTTGATGTATAAATACTTTACTTCTGGTGCTCTGTATAATGGGGACATATTGAACTTAAAAATCTGTATGTATAGTATGTCAGCATTTCTTAGTAACTTCTCCTGAATCCATTTTTAATATCTAATATTGTACAGGTTGGGGAGTTTTACAGTTCAGGCCAATACTATGCAGACTATATAAATTTATAAAATAAATAGAAAAATTCATCAGTCCCCTGTATTCTAGACCAAAGCACATAAATGTTAATGTAGGGCTCAGAAGGGAAATATAGTTCCCCTGCATATTTGAGAAAATGTGAGGCCTTTTC